AGTATCTATATGGGATGTCCAGGATCTATATGGGGTCATGGGTCTATATGGGATCCAGTATCTATATGGGATGTCCAGGATCTATATGGGATGTCCAGGATCTATATGGGATGTCCAGGATCTATATGGGATGTCCATCTATATGGGATGTCTATATGGGATGTCCAGTATCTATATGGGATGTCCAGGATCTGTATATGGGATGATCCAGGATCTATATGGGATGTCCAGGATCTATATGGGATGTCCAGGATCTATATGGGATGTCCAGGATCTATATGGGATGATCCAGGATCCATGGATATCTATATGGGATGTCCAGGATCTATATGGGATGTCCAGGATCTATATATGGGGGATGGATGCCCAGGATCTATATGGGATGTCCAGGATCTATATGGGATGTCCAGGATCTATATGGGATGTCCCATGGATCTATATGGGATGTCCAGGATCTATATCCAGTACACAGTATCTATATGGTGATGTCCAGGATCTATATGGGATGCCCAGATCTATATGGGATACACAGGATCTATATATGTACAGGATCTAATGGGTCAGTATCAATAGGATCTATATGGTGATGTCCAGGATCTATATGGGATGTCCAGGATCTATATGGGATGTCCAGGATCTATATGGATACACAGTATCTATATGGGATGTCCAGGATCTATATGGGATGTCCAGGATCTATATGGGATGCCCAGTGTCTATATGGGATACACAGGATCTATATGGGATGTCCAGGATCTATATGGGATGTCCAGGATCTATATGGGATACACAGTATCTATATGGGATGTCCAGGATCTATATGGGATGTCCAGGATCTATATGGGATGTCCAGGATCTATATGGGATGTCCAGGATCTATATGGGATGTCCAGGGATGTCCAGGATCTATATGGGATGTCCAGGATCTATATGGGATGTCCAGGATCTATATAGGATACACAGTATCTATATGGGATGTCCAGGATCTATATGGGATGTCCAGGATCTATATGGGATTTCCAGGATCTATATGGGATGTCCAGTCTATATGGGATACACAGGATCTATATGGGATGTCCAGGATCTATATGGGATGTCCAGGATCTATATAGGATACACAGTATCTATATGGTGTGTCCAGGATCTATATGGGATGTCCAGGATCTATATGGGATGTCCAGATCTATATGGGATGTCCAGGATCTATATGGGATGTCCAGAATCTATATGGGATGTCCAGGATCTATATGGGATGTCCAGGATCTATATAGGATACACAGTATCTATATGGGATGTCCAGGATCTATATGGGATGTCCAGGATCTATATGGGATTTCCAGTAACCAGCAACAGGCATCCATCTTTTGGAATCGGTGAAGGATGGTATTCTCAAGACTCGGGGGCGGGGTTTGGTGGGACCATCAGCTGTGCAGAGGTGTTACTTCTAATTTTTGGTTCTGTATTATCATTTCATGAACTCAGCTGATGAATATTTGATATCCATTTCTGTCTACCAGCATAGCTGAGCACACGGCCTGTACTGCCCCCATCAATCTGCCATATTCAGGGTCCCTCTTCTCCGGGCCCCGCACTGCGGGGACAATTGTGCTGATATTATCAATGTCAGGATATGTGAAGGGAAACCAATAATCAATTTATTCATCAGAGCCGAGATGACTGGCAGTGATTGCATTACTATGTGCTGGGCAGGACTTATCTATTCATGGACCTTTTTTTTCCCTAAATTGGGTTTTTTCTCTAAATCAATTGAATATTCTTCCTGATATAAATATAGAATACGAACGCCGCGCTCGTGTAGTCAACTCATCACACTTCCTCTATATTCAGGTTCTCCGAGGATTGCGAGCTTTTATCCTTCATGCTAGCAGCCTTCTTTGTCCTTTTAGTGCGCTCACTCTGATCCGGCGCGTTATTCATCATGATATGCATTCTATGCACTCTACATATCCCAGATCTTGTATATTGAACTTGGCGTCCATCCTATTCTATTCTACATTACTATTCAGCGCCATTCAAGTCAGCTCTTATCTTTGACTCCATGCCTCTCCCATATATGGTGCTCAGGGGCGGACTGACAACTCATGGGGCCCTGTGTCCTTGCCCCAACTCAAAAAAGCCTAAGAAGGAGGAGGAAGGAGGAGGAAGAAAGAGGAGGAGGAGGAAGAAGGAGGAAGGAGGAAGAAGGAGGAGGAGGAGGAGGAAGAAGGAGGAGGAGGAGAGGAAGAAGGAGGAGGAAGAAAGAGGAGGAAGGAGGAGGAGGAAGAAGGAGGAGGAGGAGGAAGAAGGAGGGAGGAAGAAGGAGGAGGAGGAGGAAGCAGGAGGAGGAAGAAAGAGGAGGAAGGAGGAGGAGGAAGAAGGAGGAGGAGGAGGAAGAAGGAGGAGGAAGAAGGAGGAGGAAGAAAAAGAGGAGGAGGAAAGAGGAAGGAGGAAGGAGGAGAAAAAAGGAGGAAGGAGGAGGAGGAAGAAGGAGGAGGAGGAAGAAAGAAGAAAGAAGAAAGAAGAGGAAGAAAGAAGAGAGAGAAGAGAAGAAGAAGAAGAAGAGGAAAGAAGAGTAAGAATTCCAGTCCGCTGTTATATTTGACATGAAAGTCTTGCGGTTGCAACAATGTATCCATTTGCATCCGAATAAAACCATCTGTATCTGAAATGGATACAAATGGATACATTGTTGCAGCCGCAAGACTCTATTCATGTCACATATAATAGCGGATCTCTGCAGGGACAGAAGTAATCAAATGCTGGCTGCAGACGGGACGAAAATCAGCTGAGTTTTTTTACCATTGGTGGTAACGTCGGCCGATTGAACGACCGATTTTTCTTTCTTTGTAAACAAACGCCCGGTTTTTGGCCCGTCTATGACCCGCAGAACTCTCTTCACCATCCAATGCTACAATATTGAGGATTATTATTAGTCTGTCTTTTGTCCTTCATCACATTATTGATTCATTTCCAGGCTTCTCACTAATTCTCTCTACATTCTCACTCCCCGCATGATCCCCGCTGGTATAGAACTCCATCTGAGGTGCCGGGACTTCTCAGCGCTGGTTGTCACCCTGGATGACCCCGTTGTCTCTCTCCTTCTGGTGGGGGCGGGGGGGGGGGGGGGGGTCTGTAATTGCTCCATTATTGGCTGACTCTCATTATATGTTTATCATCATTTTTCAGCAATAAGATGCTTAAGATGGTCCCGAGGGCCCCGCTCCGTGCAATTCACAGGTGAGTCGGGTATAAGTGTATTAACAAATTTGGGGTTATCCTTTCTGAACCCCCCCCCCCCCCCCGTATACGCACCGGTATTAATGGTTTAGGGCATCCCAGGTTTTTATTTTTGTTACTAGACCTGTGGGGGTCACATGCCTGATGAAGGGGTCCTACGGGGGTCACATGCCTGATGAAGGGTCCTACGGGGGTCACATGCCTGATGAAGGGTCCTACGGGGGTCACATGCCTGATGAAAGGGTCCTACGGGGGTCACATGCCTGATGAAAGGGTCCTACGGGGGTCACATGCCTGATGAAGGGTCCTACGGGGGTCACATGCCTGATGAAGGGGTCCTACGGGGGTCACATGCCTGATGAAGGGTCCTACGGGGGTCACATGCCTGATGAAGGGTCCTACGGGGGTCACATGCCTGATGAAGGGTCCTACGGGGGTCACATGCCTGATGAAAGGGTCCTACGGGGGTCACATGCCTGATGAAGGGTCCTACGGGGGTCACATGCCTGATGAAAGGGTCCTGCGGGGGTCACATGCCTGATGAAGGGTCCTACGGGGGTCACATGCCTGATGAAAGGGTCCTGCGGGGGTCTCATGCCTGATGAAGGGGTCATACGGGGGTCACATGCCTGATGAAGGGTCCTACGGGGGTCACATGCCTGATGAAGGGTCCTACGGGGGTCAAATGCCTGATGAAGGGTCCTACGTGGGTCACATGCCTGATGAAGGGGTCCTGTAGGGGGTCACATGCCTGATGAAGGGTCCTGTAGGGGGTCACATGCCTGATGAAGGGGTCCTGTAGGGGGTCACATGCCTGATGAAGGGTCCTGCGGAGGTCACATGCCTGATGAAGGGTCTTTCGGAGGTCACATGCCTGATGCCTGCGGGACTCCGAAACATTGCCTTGCTGGAACTATGTGATTGTTCATTATAACGTTTGGACCCGTATTGGAGATCCTTGGTGTGCCGGTGACACCCTCCCTCGCAGGCTCCCCTCTCTGACACCCTCCCTCGCAGGCTCCCCTCTCTGACACCCTCCCTCGCAGGCTCCCCTCTCTGACACCCTCCCTCCAGGCTCCCCTCTCTGACACCCTCCCTCGCAGGCTCCCCTCTCTGACACCCCCTCCCTCGCAGGCTCCCCTCTCTGACACCCTCCCTCCAGGCTCCCCTCTCTGACACCCTCCCTCGCAGGCTCCCCTCTCTGACACCCTCCCTCCAGGCTCCCCTCTCTGACACCCTCCCTCGCAGGCTCCCCTCTCTGACACCATCCCTCCAGGCTCCCCTCTCTGACACCTTCCCTCCAGGCTCCCCTCTCTGACACCATCCCTCGCAGGCTCCCCTCTCTGACACCCTCCCTCCAGGCTCCCCTCTCTGACACCATCCCTCGCAGGCTCCCCTCTCTGACACCATCCCTCCAGGCTCCCCTCTCTGACACCCTCCCTCCAGGCTCCCCTCTCTGACACCATCCCTCGCAGGCTCCCCTCTCTGACACCATCCCTCCAGGCTCCCCTCTCTGACACCCTCCCTCCAGGCTCCCCTCTCTGACACCCTCCCTTGCAGGCTCCCCTCTCTGACACCCTCCCTCGCAGGCTCCCCTCTCTGACACCATCCCTCCAGGCTCCCCTCTCTGACACCCTCCCTCCAGGCTCCCCTCTCTGACACCATCCCTCGCAGGCTTCCCTCTCTGACACCATCCCTCGCAGGCTCCCCTCTCTGACACCAGTTCCTCCCATATTTCGGACCCCTTTAGGTGTAGGAATTACCTGCACTCCCCGGGACTCTCACAAAAGCCGTTTTCAGGATGACAGCCGGGACTGCAGACACCTGCAAGAAACATGTCGAACAATCAGCACCGTCTCTGAACCATCACAGAGCTCCTCCCACATCCCCGCAATTACAACAATCAGGTATTTAATCTTCATACAATCTTCATCTGAACGGGGGGCGTAAAAAACACATCGCTGGGCGTCACAAACCTTCACAGTTCATAAGGAATGTTCCGCCTATATTCAGATCAGCAGCTCCATCTAGTGGCTGTAATGTGGCATCTTCCTGCCGGAGGTCATTCAGGAAAGTTCTGCGTTATGGCCACTAGATGGAGATGATCATAAGAAATAAAACCTATAAGACAAATCGACATTTATTGCTGCTGGGTGAATGCCGGTGATATTCGTCCGGTGATAGTCGTCCGGTGATATTCATCCGGTGATATTCATCCGGTGATAGTCGTCCGGTGATATTCATCCGTGATACTTGTCCGGTGATACTTGTAAATGATACAATATATCCCATAATAATACACAATATTCTGTAACATTTCTATCATTTTATGTAAATCGCTCCCATCCTATTTCTAGCTGCCCAAAAGAAAAAAAGTACTGTTTCCAAGTAACCATGACAACCCCGGTACATTCTGTTAGCAGTTAGTCTCCTGGGGCTGATCATGTGATGAGAGGGCACTGAGGACGGAGCACTGAGCGGGATGTGACTGTCGGGGGGCACTGAGGACGGAGCACTGATACCAATGATGGGGCACTATTCCTCCCACTGACACCAATGATGGGGCACTATTCCTCCCACTGATACCAATGATGGGGCACTATTCCTCCCACTGATACCAATGATGGGGCACTATTCCTCCCACTGACACCAATGATGGGGCACTATTCCTCCCACTGACACCAATGATGGGGCGCTATTCCTCCCACTGACACCAATGATGGGGCACTATTCCTCCCACTGATACCAATGATGGGGCACTATTCCCTCCCACTGACACCAATGATGGGGCACTATTCCTCCCACTGACACTAATGATGGGGCACTATTCCTCCCACTGACACCAATGATGGGGCACTATTCCTCCCACTGACACCAATGATGGGGCACTATTCCTCCCACTGACACCAATGAAGGGGCGCTATTCCTCCCACTGACACCAATGATGGGGCACTATTCCTCCCACTGACACCAATGATGGGGCGCTATTCCTTCCACTGACACCAATGAAGGGGCACTATTCCTCCCACTGACACCAATGATGGGGCACTATTCCTCCCACTGACACCAATGAAGGGGCGCTATTCCTCCCACTGACACCAATGATGGGGCGCTTTTCCTCCCACTGACACCAATGATGGGGCGCTTTTCCTCCCACTGACACTGTTTTCACCCCAGGACCCCCCCCCCCCATAGATACAGTACAGAGGTATGTTGGCACCCCAGGACCCCCCCCCCATAGATACAGTACAGAGGTATGTTGGCACCCCAGGACCCCCCCCCATATATACAGTTCAGAGGTATATTGTCACCCCAGGACCCCCCCATAGATACAGTACAGGGGTATGTTGTCACCCCAGGACCCCCCCATAGATACAGTACAGGGGTATGTTGTCACCCCAGGACCCCCCCATAGATACAGTACAGGGGTATGTTGTCACCCCAGGACCCCCCATAGATACAGTACAGGGGTATGTTGTCACCCCAGGATCCCCCATATATACAGTTCAGAGGTATATTGTCACTTCAGGACCCCCCCCCATAGATACAGTACAGAGATATATTGTCACCCCAGGACCCCCCCCATAGATACAGTACAGAGGTATGTTGTCACCCCAGGACCCCCCCATAGATACAGTACAGAGGTATGTTGTCACCCCAGGACCCCCATAGATACAGTACAGAGGTATGTTGTCCCCCCAGGACCCCCCATAGATACAGTACAGAGGTATGTTGTCACCCCAGGACCCCCCCATAGATACAGTACAGAGGTATGTTGTCACCCCAGGACCCCCCCATAGATACAGTACAGAGGTATGTTGTCACCCCAGGACCCCCCCATAGATACAGTACAGAGGTATGTTGTCACCCTATTACAGGAAGTGGGGTACTGGCAGGATCCTCGGGTGGAAATAGGATATAAATATATATTTCTTCTTCTTTCTGTTTTCTGCAGAATGAACCCTCTAAGGTGAGAAAATCGATTCTGGAGGAGAAGTTTCGTATAATTAGGAGAAGATCCTTCCAGCGCGGTATAGATGGAGGCGGTGCGGATACGGCGTGGGAAGAAGACGCGGACACTGTGGGGTAATACATTCATAGCAATGAGTTGTGGAGAAGATTTCTGTCCATCACCCTTCACAGAACTCCTCCGCCAGATCCTGCTCCTCTCTGTGCAGCCGCAGCACCCCCTCATCCCCACCTTCCCTGATCTCAGCATTCAGCAGCGGAGAGGACAGAGCTCCTCCTACAGATCCTGCTCCTCTCTGTGCAGCCGCAGCACCCCCTCATCCCCACCTTCCCTGATCTCAGCATTCAGCAGCGGAGAGGACAGAACTCCTCCTACAGATCCTGCTCCTCTCTGTGCAGCCGCAGCACCCCCTCATCCCCACCTTCCCTGATCTCAGCATTCAGCAGCGGAGAGGACAGAACTCCTCCTACAGATCCTGCTCCTCTCTGTGCAGCCGCAGCACCCCATTGTCTCTGACTCCCTTAGACTCTGGAAGCTGACTCCAGCCCTCCTCCAGACCCTGCACTTTCTGCTTCCCAGCTCCGCCCCCAACTTGTTTCCAGCAGCAGCACAAGGTAAGGGGGTGCACTGTGATGGGAGGGAGGGGGACTCTTATCTCTCCGGTGTGACTTCATATCTCTCCGGTCTAACTTCATATCTCTCCGGTATGACTTCATATCCTTCCGGTGTGACTTCATATCTCTCCAGTCTGACTTCATATCCTTCCGGTGTGACTTCATATCTCTCCGGTCTGACTTCATATCTCTCCGGTCTAACTTCATATCTCTCCGGTCTGACTTCATATCTCTCCGGTCTGACTTCATATCTCTCCGGTCTGACTTCATATCCTTCCGGTCTGACTTCATATCTCTCCGGTGTGACTTCATATCCTTCCGGTGTGACTTCATATCTCTCTCCGGTGTGACTTCATATCTCTCCGGTGTGACTTCATATCTCTCCGGTGTGACTTCATATCTCTCCGGTCTGACTTCATATCTCTCCGGTCTGACTTCATATCTCTCCGGTCTGACTTCATATCTCTCTGGTCTGACTTCATATCTCTCCGGTGTGACTTCATATCTCTCCGGTGTGACTTCATATCTCTCTGGTCTGACTTCATATCTCTCCGGTCTGACTTCATATCTCTCCGGTCTGACTTCATATCTCTCCGGTCTGACTTCATATTTCTCTGGTAAAACTGGAGCCTCCAAGAAATTATTCCGTGTGTGGGTGACACCATTATGGGTCCTGGCCCTTTAACACGAGACGTTTTCCGTTTGTGGGAGACAACCGTGAGGCCGCAGTGGTTGGAAGTGACAGAACAGACGCAGAAGAACGCCGGCAGAGTCATTGTTGGGTGGGATTCTCTCAATGGCCTTTTGTGTTGGTTTTGATGTAGAATGAATCGGTATTTTTCTAGTGAAGCCCTGCAGGGGGCCTCCTAAATAGGAGCGCTATGAAATGTGATTTGTACGTGAAGTGAGTTTTATGCGGCGGGCGGGGAGTGCGGGCGGGAGAGCGGGCAGGCGGTAGAGCGGGCGGGAGGGAGTGCGGGGACGGGCAGGGGAGAGCGGGCGGAGAGTGCGGGCGGGAGTGTGGGCGGGAGTGCGGGCGGAAGAGCAGGCAGGCGGTAGAGGGGCGGGGGGAGTGCGGGCGGAAGAGCAGGCAGGCGGTAGAGAGCGGGCGGGAGTGCGGGCGGGCGGGAGAGCGGGCGGGAGTGCGGGCGGAAGAGCGGGCAGGCGGTAGAGCGGGCGGGAGTTGTGGGCGGGGAGAGCGGGGGGGGAGTGCCGCGTAAATGATTGATTTCGTGTAGCTGAGCAAGTGGCAATTATGTCTGCAATACAGAGCCAATTAAAACCGCCGGCAAACTGAACACTCCGGGGTCTATTTATAAAGGGGCGGGTCTGTTTGGCCTCATTTACCAGATTGGGCGAATCTGCATCAAATGTGCCGTACATGAGGAGCTCCTAGACAATCATTTAAGATCCATCTAGTCACAGATGGCGAATGTTCATTGACTCGTCTTTGAAATCGTTTCCATTTCCAAATAGTGACATTTACTGACCACTTTCTGACAAGAATCGGAATGTCGGGGCTCAGAGTCGGTGAATGTTCAGCAGCTGAAAGCAAATGTGTTTTTAAAATTGGGCAAATGTAACCCAGGGTGAGATCTGCTGGTCGACCCTTACTAAGCCCCATAGGTAGAACATGTCCCTCATTTCAGGGTACTTCTAGAAGTCAAATTTTTCTCTTGTTATTGGGAACATCTACAGTGTGCTGTCCTATATCATATGTCTGTGAAGGATCCCATTCCTCCAGGTCATGGTGTATCTAGAAGTATTTGGTCTCATGGATCCAGGTCATGGTGTATCTAGAAGTAGGTGGTCTCGTGGGTCCAGGTCATGGTGTATCTAGAAGTAGGTGATCTTGTGGATCCAGGTCATGGTGCATCTAGAAGTAGGTGATCTCGTGGATCCAGGTCATGGTGCATCTAGAAGTAGGTGGTCTCGTGGGTCCAGGTCATGGTGTATCTAGAAGTAGGTGGTCTCGTGGGTCCAGGTCATGGTGTATCTAGAAGTAGGTGGTCTCGTGGGTCCAGGTCATGGTGTATCTAGAGTAGGTGGTCTCGTGGATCCAGGTCATGGTGTATCTAGAAGTAGGTGGTCTCGTGGATCCAGGTCATGGTGTATCTAGAAGTAGGTGGTCTCGTGGATCCAGGTCATGGTGTATCTAGACGTAGGTGGTCTCGTGGATCCAGGTCATGGTGTATCTAGAAGTAGGTGGTCTCGTGGATCCAGGTCATGGTGTATCTAGA